TGTGATTTGATGAATCTAATGCATTCTAAAATAGCAAGTTGTTCAGCTTGAAAGACTGAGTTGTTATTATTAATTGTATAATGATTAGAATGATTTATGTTGAAGAATGCAAAACCAGTTCCAGTATTTGTTTTTGAACCGTCTGTGAAAAAATTGTATGGATCTAAGTGATTATAGTTTTTATTTTCTTCTAAACTGATTAAATTAGTGATAGACTGAGAGGGGTGAAAAATAGTTATTGTTTGTTTTTCCTCGTAAGTACTGTATTGATAATTTATATTGTTATAGGAAATGTCTTTTCTAAGTTGAGTTATGATTATTGAACACGACAACGACGTAATCTGTTCTGAGAGAGGTGGGAATCCAGCTAAGACTTGTAAAGCAGCTGTAGGAGTGGAATGATAGGCTCTTGTGATATTCAGAAGAAATTTCCTTTGGATAATTATATGAAACTATGTGCATGAACAATATATATATTCATTTTTAATTTTTAGTTTGTTTTTAGCTTGAAATTTTAAAAAAATTAATTTTCAGGAAAAGCCAACATTCAGTGCTAAATGTTAGTTTTCCAGCAAGCAAGGAAAATTTTAAAAATATCCTGGTACTGCTATCTGGTGTGCAAAATGAGAAATAAAATGTCCTCCAGCCAAAAAAAATTAATTAGTTTCTAGCCCGTCAATATCACGAAAGCGAGAAGGAAGTTGTTAAACTTGATGGCAAAAACTACTGTCAATATGTGTTGGTGAATTTTGTAGGTTTATTCTCTCCTGGACATAAAGAAATAAGAATTCTATAAACTTCATCACCAGTTTACTCTTGCTTCGTATGAAAACTTTTCCTCTCTTTTTTTAAAAAAAAAATCAAGTTATTTTTTTTGTACTCTACAAAGAAAACGCGTTACTGCTGCGCAAAAACTATTTTTGCATTTGATCTGTATCATCAAGATTTGATTTTTAATCAATAATGTATTCACCGCCGTTAGCAACAACCTTTCAATACCGGATCGAAAATAAATTTAAAAAATGAATCGGTACTTAAGACTAATGAATATATTTAATGCGCCGAAACATTACTTTCCGGTCCTCCTAATAATACACTTTTGTTGAAATACCTAGGCTACCACTCGTAACAAAATTATAATAATGTCTTTGCACCTTTTTATCACAAACTCATTTAAAATAAATCTAAAATATATACAGAACCAAAATTCATCTTGAGTTAATTTGTCATCAAGCTAATCACACAAAAAATTTCATGGTTTCTTTTTCACTTAAATGCAAAGTCTGTTTGCTTCATTCAATAGATTTACAAGTCATATAAAAATATTTTAAATTAAAATAAGTTCACTTATAAATTTTTAAAAAATAAAAAAAACTTAGTTAAATACTTAAACTACATAAAAAAATAAAATAATAAAACTAGTTATTGTCCGCTTTTAGTATTACTTAACACATGGTTAATCCCTATTTCTCTCAGACTAACAGTGGAAGTTCATAAACAATTCAACATAAACAATTAGCTTTTGTGAAACATTTCACGATAAAGATACATTTATTACACATTTAAATATAATTTTCTCATAAAAAAATGCACCATATACCATCTCTATCAATATAGCAGTTGCAGTAATTTTTCTAAATTCCAGAAAATCAAATATTAAAATTTATTTAAAAAAGCTTGTCATTGACATTAATACTTTTACTTAGATATGTCTAGAATTATATAAACTACATGTAAATTTATATCTGTTGAGCTAACCATAGGAGGTTTTGCAAAGGTGCAATCTCTACTACAAATGTTATTAATTAACACTTTAAAAGGCCTTATGAAGATAAAGTTGCTCTTATGACAAAAGTCGTGATAAAGATTAGTTTATTATATATATTTAAAATAAATTAATTTTTAAAAATTACACTATTAGCATAAAAAATGAAGCTTTAAATAAGATACAATAATTTTTAAATTCAAACAATCAGAATTTGCACTCTGGCTAAAAAAATAATAATAATAATAATAAATGGAAAAGTGAAAAGAATTATGTATTAAATTTCAATTGCTGTTGGGCTTTGAATAAGAGTTTTAAAAATTCGAATTTAAAGTTTAAAAAATTTGAATAAAAGTTTTTTTTCTTTCTTTTACAATGCTTTTTTTCTGTGCTATAAAATTTTTTAAGGATTATATTGAAGAAGTTTTAAGACATTTTTATATAACTTAAAGGTTTGAAATGTCTATCATTTTTCAGCGAATTGACAAAAAAATTTGTAAATACTCAGGCCTAATTTTCTGAGTTGTTGGTAGTAATATTTCCTTAACTTCCTTAAATTCTAGCCCATAAAATAATAGCAATAATACTACATTACCTTATGCAACATGGTTACAAAACAAAACTTATTTTGTGTTATATAAGGGAGGAATAAACTTTCATTTTTATGGTAGCAAGTATTTAAGATTGCCCCTTCATCAGTGGTTACTTCTTATTAATAGTTTATTTAAGCGTGTCAATTTTTTGTCACTATTTAATGTAACCTTGTGTCAGATTGATGTAAATATTACATATTTATAAACTACTAACTGTTAATAAAAGAACGCAAGTGATATTTAGTTAAAACTACAATCTTTTCTTAACAGTCCAAGTTATTTAGATGAGGTTTTTGTATTGTTACATGTTTAATTAATGCAAATTAAATGCTATTCTTCTACAGTAGATGTAAACTGCCTTGCTGTTTTAACATTATTCCATAGTTAGAAGTATAACATTTTATTAATCAAAAATAAAGAAATAAAATTATGATGCCAGCATATTTGGAAGTAAAAAAATGAACATAGTAATGAGTAAATTTTTCTTTTTCTTTTAGCATTTTGTTCAATATTTAAATATAAATCTTACTAAGATCGTGGATACATTTTAAAACAAACATTTCATTTAAATTTGTAGAAATAAACAAAGTAAACAAGCAAAAGCTTTGAATGATACCAAATCATAAAAAAATAATAATAAAGGTAATTTTTTCTAATGAAAAATCGCTTTTTTCTTCTTTTGTAGACAATCTTGCGTACTTAGAATTGTAGAGAATGAAAAAAATAATCTAAGTAAAGACTCATTAGTAATTTCTACATATTTTTTTATTACTATTTAGAATTGTACTTAGAATTGTAGAGAATGAAAAAAATAATCTAAGTAAAGACTCATTAGTAATTTCTACATATTTTTTTATTACTATTTAGATGCGATAGAAATTTTAATCAATTGAAACTATCAGAAAAACTGAAACTAATAATAAGTATACACAATATTTTTCATTTTATTCTATATGATGGTTTTATAAAGTTTAGAAATATATTGGCAAGCAACGCCAAAGATATATATTTCTTGCATGCCACTACCCAAAAGTAACGAAACCTTGACATTTATTTTAACATAAATTTTTTCGGCCAATTCGAAAATCTTCCAGAAAATTTGAAGAAGAAAAAATTGGACAAATAAGGGTACTATGCCATTTCTCAGACCTGTAAAAAATATGCCAAATTATTATTGGTAACAAAACATAACGTCCCTGGCTAAATTATTAGATGCACTATAAGATTCCGCCAGATCTTTTTTTCATTTTCCTTCTTTATGTGTCGTACGCAAACTTCAGAAACATTCAAGATATTTTGCGTTTTGAAAATATTTTAGCATTCACGAGGGCCTTTACTTCAGTTTTTGAACATGGTGAAAGATTGCTTTTTTTTTTGTGCTCATGATGAAAATGTTCCAATTGATTGTTTATACACTGCATTCAAAATAAACAAATAACTGTGTAGTATAAAACTGCGAAACAAATAAAGATGGCGCAAAAGCCACAGAAACACATCCACAACTGAAGCACTAGAGAACGAGACTGAAACTGGTATGCACTTGTTTACGTTCATGTATCAGTTGGTTAACATTGTAATGCAATACTTTAAAAATAAATACAAATTGGAAGTATACAAAAAATATCCAGAATAAAAATCCATTACCTGTATGTTTAAATACAAAAGTATTGCAGATATAACTCATGAAAAACATGTAATTATTAAAAAACTACAGTACATCTAATAATTTGACCAGGGACTGTGGATGCATGGTAATAAATTTTTATGGTGCTTGGAAGTGTAATAGTACTAAAAAAAACATATTACGAAGGGAAATTTTAAATAACTAAAATCTGATCAAAAATAATAATATATCCATACATGATAAATTTTAATATTTTACGGGGAGATTTCCCTATCGTGATCTGTGGTACAGTACAGAACCCGTTATCCGGAAATCAAAAAACCGGAACACCAAAAAACCGGAACGAAATTCGATAAATTTTCCCGCCATATTTAAAAAAAAAAAAATTTTTTCCTCGTAAGATTTTATGATTTTTCTTTCTTTTTTGAAAGATGTTTACCTTACCATCGTTTTGGAAATAATCATTAGTGTGTTACTTCATCGTTTTTTCTTCTTTTTAAGATTATTTCCAATTTTTTTTTTAGATGGGTTTAACAAAAAAAAAACGGTTTTTTGTAGCGATTCAGAAAACCGGAAAAATCTGTTATCCGGAATAGCGATGGTCCTGATCGTTCCGGATAATCGGTTCCCTACTGTATAATAATCGCCAAGTCTTGGTAACTCCCGGACAGTGGCCCGCTGGAAACTAAAAATAAAAAAAAACACAGAAATGGGCCACCTCGGAAGGTATAAATTGTAGCCAATCCCGGGCAAACATCTACATGTTTTTTTTTTAAAAAATTTGCAAGTTTAAAATCTATTTGGCACCTTGGCGACTAGTTTGCGCAACAGATCACGATACGGAAATATCCTCCGTTTTACAATACACAAAATCTGTTTAACGTTATTACGTTAAATGAATTCAGATTTGGATTATAAAAACACAAAATACATAGTTAAATTATTTGTTAGAAATAAAAACAAATAAGCCTGGTTGTTGAATAAAAAATAGACACATATACATAAGCCTTTCAGTAATTTATTTACTTTCCTGTATTACATTGGTCAACTTGATGTGAATAACTGAATTTTTTCTAGTATTAGTTTTTGGCTTAAACTTCCCATTTAAAGGAGTAAAGTCATCAATCAACTCAACACTTGATGTTGTAGTATCTAAAACAATAGTATTCAAGTAAAAAGTTTTCAACTGCAGTGCAAGGTTAACAGCAGTATTTACAGCTGCTCCCAATCCATGTATGTGAATTTCTTTCTCTTTCGAGAGTAATGTTTTGCACTTGTTAAATTGAGCAATAAAAGGAGTTTTTTGATTCACATATACATCATTGGGTCGGCGGGGAAGCGACGGAGGTAAACGTTTTTGAAACAAATAATCATCGTCTGTGTCCAATGACTTTTCATCCTCTTTATTAGTTTTCGACTTCCAGCTTTTACGAGGTGTACTCATTTTAAAAACCTTGACAGAAAATACTAGATTGAACGAGTACAAGAGTACTACACGAATAAATGAAAATATCCAGAACAAATCAAATCTTTACATAGCACCTAATTAATGAACTATATTTAAAAGAGAAACAAAATCTGTATCTTCCAGTACCACACAGTACCAGTGGCCAAAATTTTCCAAACAAATCGTACGGAAATAGGTAAAATTGATTGATTGATTAAATATTGTAGACGCTTCTGGCTTTCTGCTTTTGCAGGATTTTAAGGCATGTGCGTGAAGTCAGCCGCGTGCGGTTCTTCAAGAAATTTTGCAGTTTTATTCTCACTGCATAAAATCTACAAACTTCCAATCACCGTCAAGAGAGCTTGATTGGTGAAAAAAATTATCCAGCGAAAAACTTACCAATCACGTTTTCTATTTTTTTCCGGAGCATGGACCCTTCATATCGCGACATTTCTAGGCGCATATGCAAATATTTAAAAATAAATTTATGTCTATTTTCTTAACACAAACTGCACGCAGATACATGAATTATATTTACATGCGATCGCATTTGCGAATCACAATGCAGTGTTATTCACGCCGTTCTCTCACTGCATGTGAGAATTTGAAGATGCAAATGAGAATCCGATTAGTGACTCATGGATGGGTGATCGTGTAAAGCTAAGGGTGGTGGCGCTAGTGGTAAAATAGCTCTTTCAAGACTTCCGGGTTACTGCTTCCGATATATTTTTACGCCGCAGACTGAAAAAAACGCGCCATCATATTATTGCAGCATATCTTTTGCAGTATTTCACATGTACCGAGTTCTTTCTTTCAGCCTTTAAACTTCAGCATTATCATATTAATATTATAATCATTAGAATATTTTCTAATTAGGCTAACTTATAAAGATATTTTTGGCGACATTTTATTCAAATGTAGCCAAATAAGGGATAAAATACAAAACATGGCAAACCTTAAGAATTATTCACAATGAGATATTAACTTTCCAAAATTTTTTTTGGCCTTACGACCTCTGAGAATCAATACATTTCTGAAAGCTCTTATGAATGGTACAATTATGTTTAGATTTGAACCCAAATTACAATAACAAAACTGCATAGAATATTAGGCTTGTTCACACATCGCCTCGTAGTCATAACATAAGCGGAGGGATACACCGGAAATTTTCTAAATTTCTTCCGGTTTAAGGACGCTTGCTATTGTTTACATTAGACCATCCATCCATATTTACCAATGAAAAATTCGCTAGCTAATTAGTGATTCCTTTCGTCCAAAAGACTATTCTTTTAATGAAACGATAAATGAACTTATTAAACTTTTTATTAAACTTTTTATCATTATTTTTATAAATGAACTTATTATTTTAATTACGAACTAAACGATTAAGATAAAAGTTTGTATTGATTTTAACATTTTAATGATAATTATTTTAACTTTTCAATATTCATTAATTTTTCAAGAGCAACATGAAGCTAAATTATTTTTCATTAATTCAATTTTTATTTTAAGTAAAAATTTTCATCCTGACAAAAAAAAAATTATAAAAGTAATTGACATTCAAAAGAATCTTTTAATAACCATTACAGTGACAATTGCAGATAGATGAAAGGTTCAAAATTATTAAAAACTTTCAGTTAATAAGTACATTTTTTGTTTGAAATTTTAGAATATGTTGCAATGAAAAAAAAAGCTTGTTTTATTAATGGAGTCTTTTATTTTCCTCAAATTTAATTGAAAAAAATAGAGAAAAATGCGAGAGCTGTGACTGTTAAAATGTAGTAGGCACAAGTAAGACCGGTGATGGTTTCAATACTTTGATGGTTTCAATACGATTTTTAATTGACAATAATTTAGAAATCCCCCAATTTAAAATGGTGAATCAGCTAGTCACTGGAAGCTACTAGTCAGAATCAGCCATAAATTTTCTAATTTGAGTGAATTTGACGTTTGTTCAATTTTTGCTTATTTAGAAAAGATAATATTTTAGTTACTCATAATTTCTACAGAGTTCAGCGATATAAAAAAAATCCACCTATCCATTTCATTGTTGAATCCGTAATTTTTAAGATCTTGAAATAAATTGTAATATTGATAATCCCATTCTCGTTATAATGTTCTTAGTAACGCTTTCTGTGATAAAAAAAAAATAACGTAGAGATGTGACTTGTAAAATGTATGATCATATTTGCCTTATCAAGAGGGCAAGTCACCACATCCATTTTCTGTGAGTAAGGGAACTTTTTCTTAATATTTTTAATTCTTTTTTGAGGTTTTTAAATTGGAAACCAGTTTGGAGGGATATTTTTCAATATGGGGGTGTAATTTTTTTTTGGGGGGGAGGTGTGTAATATTTCTGAATTCCTATTTAGTAAAAATTTTAATTCACACATTTTTATTTCGTGTTCACATTTTTATTTCATGTCCTCATAAACACAAAAAAAAAATAATGATAAATAAAAAATAATAATGATAAATAAAAAATAATAATAATANCCAAAACTGACCCTGAACTCCCCAAAGAGTCCTTTGAAATAGGCTAGGAAAGAGAGCAAAAATGAAGAAGGACGTTTTCTGAAGGAGCCACTCAAATTCTGTTGACACAAAGGGCCCACCTCTCCAATTCTGTATATTCAAGCCTTTCTCTTTTTTTTTTTTTTTTTTTTTTTTTAAGGGCAAGGCATTTTTCAAAAACTAATATCTTTTACTTCGCTTTCAATGCAGTCCTAATAAAACAAATAATAAAACACATATGTAATAAATGTTTTAGTTGGAGCCAGAAATGCAAAGCAACGCTTTTTCCGTCTCGAATTCTTCTGTTGAATTCCTAAGGAGGCTACTAAAATCATAATGTGAGCACCGTTAAACATTTTTTTTTTCGATTTAAATCATTGTAAATAACAGAACTGATTAACAATTTGAATACTCCAGTTCTCAAATAGCTCATATGTAATGTCACTTCAGACGAGCTTGATGCTAGTTTAGCTTTTTTGAAAGTCACGTTTTCTAAAATATTGCTTATTTTTATTATCTAAATATTACTTATTTTCTAAAATATTACTTATTTTTATTATCTAATATTACTTATTTTCTAAAATATTACTTATTATCTAGAATATTACTTATTTACTATCATATTTTTTCATTTCTGTTCAAAATAATTTCAAAAAATTCTAAGTTTCATAAGAAAAATGGCATACTAGATGCAATTCTGTTTCTATAAATGGGAAAGGGATTGTTACTTTAGGGAGGGGGTAAGCATTTATACACTTACGTATAATTACATATATATATATATATAAGTTTCATTTATTGCGCATAAACTGCAAGTAAACAGAACTCATTAGATAAATTCAAAATGAAAATAAGACAAAGGAAAATTACAGACATTTGAAAAAGGGGGGAAGGAAAAATAATAGCAAAAAAATTAACAAGCAAATGGGGGGGGGAGGAAAAAAAGAATAATTTTTTTTTTAAAAATCAAGAAAATTAAAAAAGAAACAATAAGTTTCATTTATTGCTCATAAGCTGCAAGTGAACAGAACTCATTAGATAAGTTCAAAATGAAGATAAAACGAAGGAAAAATACAGACGTATGAAAAAAGGGGGGGAAAGAAAAATAATAACAAAAAAATTAACAAACAAATAGTGAGGAAAAATAAATAAATAAAATTAAAAAAATTTCAAAAATCCGGAAAATAAAAGATATCTTTTCATCAGCTCACACGATTATATCCGCAAAAAAGGGTGCTTTCTGATATTGTATCAATATAGCCAAAGCAAAATATATTAATACAATAGTGTGAGAAGCACTCAAGAAATTTTTTTACGAAAATTATAACAAATAAAATGGAACACAATAAGTAAAAATAACACGAAAAAACAGAAAATGAAATAAAAGAAAAAGAAAAAACAGAATAAAACAAAATCTATAAAGACGGTATCGAATTTAAATGTACTTACATGAACAGGAAATTTTTCAAGAATGATTTTGTTGTTGTTGTTGTTGTTGTTGTTAATTTGCGTCGCACTAGAGCTGCACAATGGGCTATTGGCGACGGTCTGGGAAACATCCCGGAGGATGATCCGAAGACATGCCGTCACAATTTTGAACCTCTGCGGAGGAGATGACACCCCCGCTTCGGTAGCCCGACGACCTGCGCGCGAAGTCGAGCACTTTACGGTAGCACAGTTTAACGAGGACCAATACCGCACACCCTCGGTCCCTACGCAGACTGATCAAAGTGGTCACCCACCCGCACACTGACCGTAGCCAGTGATGCTTGACTTCGGTGATCTGCTGGGAACCGTGTCTTAACGATCAGTCCACTGC